AGAATAATTAATTTAGCGAGATATTATGTATGATTTCTACCGTATTTATAAATTCATTAAATTAATAATAATAATAATAATACTCAATAAGTAATAATAAAATTAGTCTGATACACAATAAATTATTGGCATGTCTTTGTGCTTTTATAGCCAGTATATATATATATATATATATATATATATATATATATATATATATATATATATATATATATATATATATATATATATATATGTTTAATTCTTCAATGTGTTTCACGTATCTCTGCATTAATTCTTTTAAAAGACAAAATGTATTTCTTGGTTTTTGTTTCAGATATTGTAATATTAATTGTATATATTCACAATTCCAATTATTTTTCATTAATTAAATGAAAATGACGAGCTCAATTCACATGCTTAGTGTATCTCTCATCCCATAGTATAAGTCCACTTATAGTTTTATTTAGTTATTTTTATCACTTCACAATTTAACGTTTAAAGTTGAATAGTCAAAATGTTAACCACGTATATTTAATCTAAGATTTAAATATGCTATTAATAGTAAGTTTTCATCTTGGTTTTCATAATTTTGTTTATTTTCCATCTTATAATAATATTTAAAATAATTATTTTATCAGTCTTTGTAAAATATTTAAATTTTAGTTTTAGTCATTAAATGATTTTATCTTTCCAAACATTTAACTCACTGTTTTAAATTTTTAATATTCATTTTAAAATAGATCAATAATATTTCTTTTACAATTTCTTGTAGATAATATATATTTTCATCATACGACAATAGTATAAAGTGTGTGTTGAAATAATCATTTAACATTATGTTCAACTTATAAATTTTGTGTCAAAAACTATAAGAGATAAAAAATGGCAATTTTCAATTTTAACAGGATAAAAAATTGTTTCTTGTAGAACTTTTTTCTTTTATTATTTTTTAAAATGTTTTCCTAGTAAATATTTTTCGCATATAAATTTTAAATTACTCAAGTATCATGCATCGTATTTATGAAATGCTAATTTGGTTTTTATTTTATGTGGTTCAAGATAATTACTAAATTTTAAGTTTTTTAAACCACAAATATCTACAAAATAGGGTAAGGCAGGAAGATGAAGGTTTCAATTTTTTTTCCTTCTATATTTGAGGTGGGTATCTCTTATTAAAAATAGTTGTGTACCAAAAAGTTGGACCACATTTTGTATTTAATATTTCTCATATCTTTGACTTGAAACACTCTTGATAGGAAATTTTATTATATATATACATACATATATATATATATATATATATATATATATTTAAAGAAAGAAAAAAGGATAATTTGTGAAAACAGAGACACTAGATATAGTTGAAATAATTTTGATGATTGAAAATTTTGATTTAAAATAAAAAAATTGCTTGAATTATTAAATTATAAAAATAAATAATAAAAAAGAGTGATTTTTGAACATTTATTGTTGAAGTAAATAGACATCGAAAAGGTGTTGTAAATAGAATGAAATGATTGGAAAGGTGATCACAAGAAATGCAAGGATGAAGTGTTTGTGGATGATATAATTGAATGGTGCACGCGTGGTGAGATGGTATTTGACCATGAAAAGAACATACGAAATTAAACGAAATGAAATGAAATCAGAATGTGTCGTCAACTTCTCATTACCGACCGCAATCTGGACGGCGCAATGTTAGGTCATTTAATATTCTCATAATTTACTTATTAGCACTAATAACACATCAATTATTTATCTTTAATATTTTAATTAATGTCAATTACTTAACCTACCACTTCCTTAAATCCATCTAATTAAGATTTAGATATTACTGACTTTTCCTTACATTGATCGAACATTTTTTAATTTAAGTAAAGTTTAAAAATAACAACAGTATAGAAAAAAAATAGAAATATGACCGTTACTAAATGATGATATAAAAATTATGTATTATGCTTTTAAAGAGAGAATAAAGATAATAAGGGGAATTATAATTATTATTTTTTATATTTAGGAAAATATTATTTGAGAAGAAAGATAATTGTCACATTTTTCATATATGCATTCATTTTAACTCTTTCATCTCACACTTGTTTAACATTATGCTTATTACATTAAGCAATTTACGTTAAGTAAATTTACACAAAGCTGAAAAAGACGATTGAAAAAAAGTAACAAATTTGTGGGACCTAAAAAGACTTCAATACATATAGCACCTTAATTTTGTGTGATATTTAGTTTTTAAAAGTACTACATTTTCTCATAGCATTAAATGTGGGGACCTAAAGATTGTGATTTGAAAGCTTCGTTGTAGGAGTGTGTAGGATAACATTTTTTTTTTCAAAGAATAAGGCTATCTTAAGTACCCACTTGTAGAAAATGATCAAAAGTTACAACTCTTTACCAATTTGACTCGTTAAAAATGAGGAAATTTTATTTAAGACGATAAAATATAATAATAATAATAATAATAATAATAATAATAATAATAATAATAAGTATTGATTCAATTAGCAGTTTCTACATGTTTTTTAATTTTTTTAACATTTATTAATTATTTAGCCTTTTATGGTTACATTCACAATATCCCATGCTTCTCAACTTAGTATTTGAAGGATTATTCATGGCAGAGTTTTAGAAGTGGTTATGCCTTTCAATTTATTGGTCGAAGGATTGTTAATTCACATCTTCTAACATAATCTTTTGACTTGTATAGTTCGAGCCATGTTCTATTATCGAGGAGACCACCATTCGCCTCGTCACCTTTTCGAGTACCTAAGACCCCTTTGTCAAGTAAATATGTCAAACATTCATATATAGTTAGGTTACCAAGATGAATGTAGAATAGCCCCAAAAAGAGATACAAATGGCAACAAATGTTGTGTCACCTTCTAACATGTCATCGATGCTAACAAATCTAACATGTCAAAGATACAAGTATTACCACAAATATGCATTAATATATAGTCTAAAAGCATCACGATATAGGTGTAGTTTGCCTGATTTCATAGAAGTTTAATTAGTTCTTATGTCACTTTAAAACTTGTCAAATACGTAGAGTGTTCTCAAACGCGAACTCACCGTAGAATTAATAAAATTTTATCTGTGCAATTCACGTCTTCAACTAATATTGGCTAGGGAATTCCTAAACCAGTCTAATCAATATTAGAAGTCAAAAACAGAAAAAATAATAAAACAATTTTAATGCATTGAATATTTTTTCAGATCACAGTTTTAAAATAAATCCAAGAAATAGTAGGTTAGGGCCAAACAAGCTTCACCTTTTAAACTCCATTCGTAGCATGCCAACAGATGCCAGTAGCTTAGAGATAGAAGGGCTAATCATCATCTTCTTGTAAAATGTATGAGAAATTAATTACACGAAGATTTGGCTTATCATGTTTTCATTTATGGGATTCGTATTCCAATTTTTTCTTGGGACTAAACAATTATGTATAATCAGATTTTTACGAAGAATCAATTCAAAGTATCTTATCTTAGTAACCTGGGTTTAATGTTTGCAGATTGTAAAGCAATATATACGAACTCACTATGCTTAACTAACCTGTGAAAATGTCATGCATAATAGGATAACCATGATTAATAGCATAATTAATAACCTTGGTGTGTAAAGATCATAAACAAAATAAAAAATAGAATTAATAACCTTAGACATCGAATATTAATACTCATACTTGAAGTATTTATCTTATTCAAGCTCCTTATTAGAACATAAACAAATACTTATTTAATATTTTTTTATTTTACTTTACTTTTAATCACATTATTAGTTATAACTATTATTTGTTGTTTTTATTATGAATTTTGTATTTGGTGTGCATGAAACCAAAAATAGTTGTACGTTTTTGCATTGTGATTAACCTTGAGTGCATCCTTGCAAAACTAGGCTGAGATGGACCATAACACCTACTACCATGATCCTCAATTACAAGGCTTCAAACACTTGTAGTAACATATTATTTATCATCTAATATATAAAAATAGTTTTAATGGTGAATTTTTTTTTTTCAGTCATATTTGTGTGTGAAGCCATGAGCCACGAGCAAGACATTACATTGTCAGTAGTGAATACCCGCACGAGAAGGCAAGGGGCGATGTGGGCAGGTCCTAGCTAGAGCTAGCAATGAAATGCTCCACCTCTTCATTTATTGACATAGGTGGGGTTATCCCTAAGGAAAATATAAAGGGAACAAGTAGATAATAAACCCTTTCTATATTTGTGCTGATGGAAGGAAGAGAGATAACTGGAAAAAATAAAAGAGGATTGCCTTTCATACGGACAATAAAGAGTGTGTTAATATGGTGAACCACATCTTAGGGTTGTACCAGCTTATGTGTCAAACATCACTCTGTTGTGTATGATTAGATTAGGGTTAGTAGCCATTGTAATTGCAGTCTATCATTTAAAAATTGTAACAATCAAGAAAGAATTGATAACACTTTATAACATGTTGTCTAAAGATTAATGGATAAAACATGTGATAACACTTTATAAAATGTAGTCTCATTATTTCGGTTGTTTTGAATGCATATGTAATGTATATATAAGTATTTTGAGAATATGGGATCTTATGACTCGCGTTATTAGTTTTCATTTTCTTGTCTCTCCTGGGCGGAAGCTCATCATCTTCAACAATATTGATGTAGACACTTAACAAAATAGTGAAAGAGAAGAGGTGAATGTTAACATGATTGATGAAGTAATGTGATAAAACAATATATATATATATATATATATATATATATATATATATATATATATATATATATATATAGTGCAAATAAAATATTTGTACCGTACGTGTGATTAAAAAAAAAAAAAAGATAAGTGTATAGATATATTAACCCTATCACTTACAATCGCGACTCATTTCCCATCTTGGTCGCGATTACCAAGATGGTGTTTTTGTTGCAGTTTACACTCCTATAACACATCTCTTTTCAGTTAATTAAGGAATGGTTTGGGTAAGAGTACTACCGCACTGTGGTGGCCGTCAACGTCGGAGAAACCTCTTTGCGGAGGCTCTAAAGGGACAAGTGGAGCTGATAAAGCCATCAACAAGGTGCAAATAGGTGTTGAGCTCGTGACATGTTGCAACGTTCGTGTTTCCCAAGTAAGGAGAATTCCTGCTACATAACCGCAGTTCCCTCCCAACCTCCGCGTACACCCATTGTGCCTCCTCCACCCTCTTTTGTACCCACCTCGGAAACCCAGCCACATGGACCTTTCCACCACTCGCCACCTCATCATCGAACACAAACCCCGGAACCTTGGTGATCACATCCTCAGAGTTAACTATCCGCAAAACCTTGGTCCCTTGCCTCTCAAGTTGTCGTCGGAACCTCCTATCCCCTACGCGGGGCCCACCAAAAGAGATTACAGTCACCGGCAGGCCTGGAAGGGCGGCCTTGATGTCATACGCCGTGAGAGTGGCCAATGCTGCCCCCAGACTATGACCGGTGACAGTCAAACTCATATGCTCTCCGCGGTAGGTTTGGAGAATTCTTGATATCTCGCGTCTCACCATTTCTTGCAGAGACGGTGATTTTGCAGGAAACGATGAATTATACAAACTCAAGAATCCGCTTTCTACCATGGCCCCACTTTTTTCAAAACATCTTTTAGTGTGGCCTGAGATAGGGAGATTGGTAAGAGTGGCACGGAAATTCTCTAACCATTCCAAGCATGTAGTGGTTCCTCTATATGCCACCACAATATCGCGTCGACCAAGCCTTTTGATCACTTCCTTGTTGTGACACACCGCTATATATCCAATATAGCTCGATTGTTTTCCAACCCATGTTGGTGCTTTGTCAACCCAACTAGGTAACTGAATTCCTGAGGTTGCACGGAGGTACTTGGTCACCTTGTATCCCGTGTTAGGTAAACCACACCTTTCAAAAAGATTTTTTTTATGGAACCTAGAGTTCGCATAGTTGGGGGAAGAAGGATCAAACTCGAATGATTTGTAGGCAGTTTCCACGAAATGACCGTACCGTAGGATTTCAGCACGTAAATTATCGTCTAACGGGTCTAGTAAACCGTCCCAATTGTTCATGCCATGGTACTCCTTCCACCTTTTCGCGAGTTTTGATGATTGCATGGAGGGAACATTGTTATGATTATGATCTTCTTGTAAGTTTATCAGTTTCTCTAAATGTAATGCGACTTGGGGCATGTCATTGGAGAGGTGTGGGTTTTTGATAGATATTTGCTTGGGTATTTGGGTCGTGGTTATTGTGCATCCCGGTTTAAGGAAGTTTTTGGTTTGGGTTGAAGGGAGTGGATGTGGTGTTCTTATTGTAAGCTTCATTGTGAGGGATTAGAGAATAACACTAAAAGAGGGAGCATGAGAAAAGAATGAGACGGAGGAACCAATTTGGGGGAACACATATTAGGACGCAAGGGTTTTATAAGTGGCACACAAAGTGTTCCTCCAAAGAGGGAAGTGGACAGAAAAGAAAGAATGACAAGGACATGTTAATGGTAAGGCAATCTTGTGCTAACTGTTATATCCACCTCATACTATTGAAAATAAAAGATAAAAAAAAGTACTAATTGAAAAATGTAATTTCCCTATTTTATTATGTAAAAATTATATTGGTTTTATATTATCAGATTTTTTAAAAAAATTATATACTTAAAAAAAAAAAAAGCACACAACACTATATATACACTTTTATGAAGGCAGACTCATTCAATGCTATCACTATCATTAGTTTCTCTCTGCTTCAAGTGTAATTTCTTCTATATTCAAAGGGTAAAAGAAGAAAGGTCGCGTATGTATGACAGAAAAAAATGCTTCAACAAAAAGACTATTTCAAAGTTGTCACTATCATTATCGGCATGTAATCCTTGATTTACTTTCCTATATAGTATTGCAAGAAAATGAGAAAAGAAATGCTCAGATTTATACTCAAGAATTACACCATTTAAATTTGATACAACTACTTTATAAATAGACTACTCTCTGTCCAAATCATTATTTTCTTCTCTTGTTTGTTCATCGTGATATGTTCATCAATTGTGTAGCTGGTAGACTAAAATTCGTGGCTCAAATCATCCAAGAGGGAGGAAAACTAAATATAATTTCATTGAAAAGATATATGAGAATTAGATGTCAATAATTGAACACAATATGAACACTACGATCAATAAATACTTAGAAGTGAATAATAATGTTGTTAAAACAGCACCGACCACCTTTGTGTTCCTTAACCGACGAGGTTTCGGCTGAAGCGCACCGCCCCAACCCACTACGTTATATTTGGGGAAAATGGGTTATACTAAAAAAAAGTGCAATAAGTTGTATTTGGACATAATTTTACTAAAAAAAAAGTCATTCTTCTAAGTACAACTTCAAAGTTTCTTTTATTTTTTGAGAAGTCATGTAACATAACTTTATGATTTTTTTTTTATTTGTTTTTTGGAAATCATATTACATAACACAATTTTGTGATTTTTTTAATTAGAAGTCAAGCAGGTTCCCAGAAACAAGTTTCCATCGCTGTTTGATAACAAGTTGGGAAGCATTAGTGTTGGCAGTATGTTGGGTGAAGCATAGAGAAGTTCAAATATTGAGATGATGATAAGGGAGGCAGAACTGTTCACTTGGGTGGTATCACTGTGCACAAGAGGGTTGGCACTTTGAGGGACTTTGAAGAAGCAAATGGAGAAGGTGAAGAGGTTGGTGTTTGGTGTGGGAAAGAAGCCTGCAGTTGAGTTTTAGTTCGGAGATAGAAGATGGTTGCCATGGGAAGTGTGAGATGTTGAAGGATTAGAGTAGTTGTTGTTGTTGTTGTTAGGAGAGAGACAGAGAGAGATGGTTGAAGATCGAAGAAAAAGAGACTTCTAACTACAAAGTCCTCTATATAATACAATTCCTAATCATATTAAAAATAAAATTATATATAAGCAGGCATGGTTTTTTTTAATAAAAAGTAAAAGGAAAAATTGTATGTTGTGTTTAGAGTAAAACTTGTTTCTGAAGTCATATTTTTAAGTACAATTTATTCTATTTTTTAACTATTCATTTTAGTTATAAAAGAAAAAATTGCGCCTATGTATTTTACTATCTTCTCTTACTTCGAGTGCTACGTGTATGTTTGACTCGGATTTAACCATGGTGAAATTGAAAAGGATCTATTTCGTGGAAAATAACGTGATTTTACATGCTGCAAGTTTACCCCAAGCTAGCTACACAATGTTTTGTTAATCACAAGAAGTTTTCCCATAAGCCTATTTATGTGTGATAAAAGTTGCTTTTTCAATTTAATTTATATATTTAGACTATGTGTTCAAGGTATTTTTATATTAATAAATTTAAACTTTAAATATAAAAAAAAATATTTTAATTTCAACTTTAAAAACATGATCAATTCTTAAAGAGAAGACATTAAAATCACAAGAATTTTTTTTTTTAATTTGAGGATCAAATTGATTGCTGTGAAAGTCTAAAAGAACCTTCATTTTGCTTGAATAAAAGCAACGAACTAAAAACACTTTTTTTTATTTGTTTAAGATTTAAATATATAATTCAAAATATCAAATTTACAAATTTTAAAATAATTCTAGTTTGGAATTTTAATTTGTAATTAGATCATAAAACAAATGAATCCTAAGAATAATATATTTTTAATTAAAAATTACTCAAATAAAATTTATCTAAATTTATTTATCTAATTGTCCATAATTTTTTCTCTCTTCATAAATTTCCTTCTTTTTTTCTATCTCACTTATCTTCTTTCTCTCTACTTTCCTACTTATTCTCCTAATTAAACTATTATATTCAAAATTAATAAAATATATTAAAACAAATATTTTAAAAACAATATTGAAACTAAAAAAATATTAACTAATTATTTAAAATTAAGAAGATGATAAATAATTTTATTTATGATGATGTAAATAATTAATTTAAAATTATTTTATGATGACAAATAATTACTCATCTAAATCAAATATTAATAAATTAAATGTTTTTTTATTTAATAATTATATTTAGTTATAATAATTTTGAGTTATGATAATTAATTAGAATAGATAATTTTAAAAAATATTTATTAAACAAATAATTTTAAAACAATATTTAATTTCTTTTTTAATAATTATAACATAACAGTAATATTTGTAACATCTCGAATCTATCCTATAATATTTTTTAAACTATAATATATTAAATTATAGTATTTCTACATTATTTAAATATTTTTATTTTTTCAATAATAATAAAACAGTTATGTTATCAAATTTTAATCTATTGTTTTTAATTGAAGAATAAGATGGAGTGAGAGAAGAACAAAATAGAAAAATAAGAAAATAAATGATAAAAAAGAGAAAAATATTTATATTATATCAGACAAATTTATTTTTTCTTATTAAATTTTATATATTAACAGTAAACCGGTCTAATTAGATGAATAAATCTATAGAAATCTCATCTAAATAATTATTCTTTTTAAATATATTAATTATGATATTGATTCCCATGAATGAGCCATACACTTCACATATTAGGTTAATTTTAACGAAAAATATATGTTTTAAAGATTCATATAATTTTATATTGATAAATCTGAAAACTTAAAAAGCACATGGATTATTTTGGGAGGCTGAAACTTGTTGCTAGGGCTACTGGCACCTCTCGGGTATGAAACTTTGGTTGCAGAAATGCAGGATCATTTCACGACTCCAGTGTGATAAACGTGCCTTTATTTGTCCTAGTAGGTTATTGAACTCTTCATGTAATTGTGTTTTATTAATTATGCATTGAATTTGGATCAAGGTTTTTCCATTTCAGAGATATCTTCCTAGTCTTCTGGTCAAATTCTCTGCATGCCCGGCGTTTCATTTTCATTTTTTTTCATATGTTTAGTTTTCCCAACCTACCATAATTTTTAGACGTTTTACATATATGTCATTAATTTTTATATAAAAGATTGATAGTTAAATTTTCAAAAGGTGTCTGTTATTACCCTTTCACACTGAGTTTCACCATCATGCAACTGGTGACAAGCTTTCTAATATTAAATTAGATCTAAATTTATTTTCAAATTCATTTACACTTATATTAACTTTCTATGATTTATCTCTCACTAATTATCACAAATCACATTAAAAATCAAACTTACCCAGTTTGATTTAACTCAAAAGTGAGTGAGAAATATCTTTAACAATTATAGGAAAATGAAATATGTGTGTACTGCGAACAAATGCACATGAAAAACATTCTTTATAATATAACTCACATCACTATAAACTTCTGTTAATCATGTTGAAAAACATTCTTTATGAACCGCCTATATCAATATTTTTTGCCTATTGAAATTCAACTCTTTGACTTTGACCATGGCTCCAATAAACTAGGGCTACCTTAGTTTCATCTAAAATAATCATGTTCTCTTAACATGTTAAAGATGATGTTTGATTTACATTATAAGCACCAATTATATCAGAGAAATACTTCCCAAGGAGACAATCTCAATAAATTAAACCAAACTCCAAGGTTTTATTATTGGGTGCAATAACTTTTTAAAAATCACAATCCATTCTACAAGTTAACAAATATAAAAAAAAAAATGGCAAAGAGTTGTCATTATCTTAAAACCCTAAGTGTTATTGTGAATAATTTGTTTTTTAACAAGTTAGAAAGTTAGAAAGTATAAGGGTTAATATTTGTTTAATATAGTAAGTTTTGTAAGAAAAATTGTTACAAATTAACGTAATATAAAGATAATTTTAGTAAGAATAATTCATACTATTTTTCTTAATATAAAATATAGATTTATTCATGTGTTATATATTTTAAACACATTTGTTATTGATTTTATTTTAATATAATTTTTTTAATAAAATTTAAAGAATTTTTATTTATTTATTTAAAAGAATTGCTTTACTAATGAAACAAGTATTGATTGAGAAAAAAATATTATTTTATTACTCTCTCTTCAAACTAACCGCAAATATGGTTATGAAACGAAGAAATTTCAAGATGCAAACGTGCGGCAGAACGTGGGCGAGACCTGCCACGGCCAGCAGCAGCAGCAATGAGACGGAGAGGCAACAACAACGGCTATGGATGCAGTGCAGTGGCAAGAGAATGCACTGTAGATGCGGCCACAGTGTGTGAGAGAAGAGGAGTGAAGGGGTTATGAAAATGAACCGATTTGGATGAGAAATGAAAAATTGAATCTAATTTGCCTGAGAAGGTGGAGGAAAATCAAATCTAAATTGTTTACAACGACAGTGACATTATAAAATTTGAATTTCACAAAATTTTTTTTATACAAATGGAAACAAGTCATCTTTATTCCTAACAGTGAAAAGTTGTGCAAATTAATTAATATTTTATGAATAAGTGTTATTAATAAGAATTACTTAACAATAAAATACAAATATTTTATTATGAATTTTATGTCTGATTTATTTAAAATTAGAAAAATTATTATATAAATAATTTTAACCAAATTTTTAAAAAAATTATCTTTAAAATTTATAATAAAATATTTATATTTATTTTTAAATAATTTTTATTAAAAATTCTCTCTTAGTAACTCAAAGAAGATTCTAATGGTGGAAGTCAATTAATCATATTTTAATATACCTGTTTTAGAAATTACATAATTAGTTTTTTGTTTTTATTTCTCCAAAATATTACATAAAAATAAACTAAAAAAATACTTTATTCTAAAAAATGAGTGATTGTTTTTTATTATCAGTTATGATTAGTGTATACCCAAAAATAATTTATTTTTAAAAATAATAATTAACTTTCGTTTCTCTAAAAAAATTATTTTTATCCACGTTAATTCATATTTTAGAAATTAATTTCTAATGTATTATCAATACCAATTTTGCAATATGAAAATAGTTTATTATAATCAAATAAATAATTTTATACTCCTTTGCTAATTTCTTTATTAGATTTTCGTTTCTTAGATCAAATATCATTTATTCATTTTTTTTTGTCTATTTTGTTTAGTATATATACTTTATCTTTCATATATTGATTCGCACACTTTAAAATTTTATTTGGTTAGTGAAAAAACAACTGTTAAAAAAATTAGTTATTTTTTACAAATTTTTTTATTAAAAGTTATTTAAATTTTTAAAAGTTTATTTTTTTTTTAAACTATAAAAATATTTACATGAAATATTAGAATTTTTAGTAATAATACAAAGGAGAGAGGATGAAAATACATTGAAAAGTTTGGTAAATAAAAGTCAAGGAAGCTATATTTTTAAAAGTAAAGCCGTAAAATAAAAATTTTAGTTATATTTTCTTTTTTTCTTATTTCTCAATTTATCTTTTATCTCTTTCAAACAAATATTTTGAGTTTTTTTTAACATATTTTTAATAATATTTTTCTTATTTATAAATTTTCTATTAAAAAAATCATAATATTATGTTTCTCCGTCTATATGTCAATTAATTAAAATATATTTTCCTATAATAATTTTGTGTATGATCACAACATGGATTAGAGTATAAAAGAAGGAAAATTACATAGTTAAAGGTTTTTATAGAATATAATTAGAATATTATTTAATTTATATTTTAATTTCCTAAAATTAAATCATGATACTTGTATGAGTAATATTTAATATATTTTATTATATTTAAAGTTATATAAATATATGTATCTACTTATCAGAAAAGAAAAAATGAATTATATATATATGTGATTTTTTTTAACTTTAATGATAATTTGTAGGTTTTGTAT